AGCCGTCATTGTTGTTTGGCGGGTCCGGGCTGGGGATTTGAACCCGCCACCTTAGGTGTACGTGGCTGGCGCCTTAGCCGGTTGAGCCATAGGCGCCGAGCCCCAACCTGTAACTCTTAAGGAAGAGCCTTCAAAAAATAAATTACAAGTACAAAGCCTATTGACTACAGGATGGGAGATCCCTCTCCCAAGCAGGAGGCCTGCCGCAGGCTATCTGTGAACAAGCAGGGAACAAAAGACCTCTCATTTTACCTTGCTGGAGAGAGCTGCTAAACTCCAGGTCTCTTTCTCCAGGGAGGTCCCACTTATGTAGCTAGACACTACCCTGGCAGGCATAAAATTGAACAGATATTTTCCCCCACAAGTCCAAACTCCCAGTCCACCCTTTCCCCCTCGCATGGTGGTCTGAAGTTCTGCAGAGCACAGAGTGTTTGGTCTTGTCCTGAGAGATATGGGAATAGTGTGGATTGTGAACCATTAGGACAGAATCTGTGACTAAAGGGGAAGAAAGAGGGTGTGGGAAGAAAGGGACACTCAGTGGGACGAGGAGCAGTCCTCTGTTATGACTATGCCCTGCCAGTGGTGGTGTTGACCCTCAGTTCAGGCTATGTCTGGCAGGATGGGGTGCAGAACCCCCAGCTCTGATGGCACCACCAGCAGGACAGTGGCTGCCCTGTGTGGACTGAGTTTGGTAGACAGGGCTGGTCCCCAGCCCCTGCTGGGTCTGCAAACAGAGGCTTGCTAGGTGTGGACTGAGACCTGAGAGCAAGGGTGTGGTCCCCTGATTCCAACAGAACCCTGGAGCAGTGACTTACTGGGTGTGAACCAAGACCTGAGGGCTAGGGCATGGTCCTCTGTCTCCAGTGGGGTTGGTGAGCAGAGGCTTACCGGGTGAGGACTGAGACCTGTGGGCAGAGTGCAGTGCCTGACTCTAACAGAGCCTGCGAACAGAGGCTCGCCAGGCAGTGGACTGAGACTGGCAGGTGGGGGTGTGGTCCCTTCACTCCAACTGATCTGGCAAGCAGAGGCTAGCTGGGTGTAGACTGAGACTGGAGGGCAAGGCCTGGTGCCCTGACTCCAATAGAGCCTGAGAACAGAGGCTTGCCAGGCAGTGGACCGAGACTGGCAGGCAGGGGTGTGGTCCCCTGACTCCAACTGGTCTGGCAAGCAAAGGCTAGCTGTGTGTGGACTGAGACCAGTGGGCAAGGGTGTACCCCCTGGTTCCAACTGGGCCTGTGAGCAGAGAAGCGGACATTAGTGTGGACTGAGTCTGGTAGGTGGGAATGTGGATCCCTGGCTCCAATTGTGCTCTTGGAGACCCTTGAATCCCTCTCTGTTGAGCAGAGTTTGCACTGCCTGAGACAATTTAATTGGAACCCGTGTCTGGGGCTGTCCATTTGGGGTCATTCTGAGATTGACCTTCAAAGCTCTGTAGCAGAAAAGAACTAAAGGGTAGCGGCTGGGCACTGCAGCTGTTTGTATCTCTTCACAGTTGAGATTTAAACCTAATACTGTGGTTTCTTAGGATAACGCAGAGGTTGACTGATATCAAAACAGAGCTACCTTGTGCTATCTCACCAAGTATGTCCTCAGAATCTCCGACCAAAACTCTGAAAGGGGCCTTTGTAAGGTTGTAGGAGATAAACCACAATTATAAAGCCTAGAGCTTTGGTACGGGGCTATCTCTACTACCTGGGAACTACAATTCAATCTCACCCTACCAGTTCTAATAACCAAATGGTGGAAGATAACCATGGTGCAGACCCAACAGAAGAACTCTGGCAGCATGAATAACCAGAGTAGATCAATCCCCCCACGAAATGACAAAGGAGACACAACTGAAGATGCCATGCATGGACAAATGCAGAAATGTCAGAAATCAAATTCAGAATATGGATTGCAAATAAGATAAACAAAATGGAAGAAAAGATAGAATTGAATTCCAAAGAATAGTTCTAAAGTTGTCTCAAGAAATTAATGAATTCAAAGCCCAAGTCACTGAAGATATGGACATAATGAGAAAAGAGAAAGCAGAGCTCAAGGAAACAGAAAAGTTAGTTGAGGAGTTCCAAAAAGCAGTAGAATTCCTCAGTAATAGAATTGACCAGGCAGAAGAAAGGAACTCTGAAACTAAAGACAAAGCTTTTGAACATTCCCAAACACTCAAAGAGGCAGACAAATGGAGAGTAAAAACTGATCATTCCCTGAGAGAGTTGTGGGATCACTCCAAAAGATCAAACATTTATCTTATAGGAATTCCTGAAGGAGAAGAGGATGGCCCTAAAGGTACAGATGCTCTACTCCAAGAGATTCTGGAGTAGAATTTCTTTTTTTTTTTTCAGTTTTTGGCCGAGGCTGGGTTTGAACCCACCACCTCTGGCATATGGGGCCGGCACCCTACTCATTGAGCCACAGGCACCACCCCGAGATTTTGGAGTAGAATTTCCCAAGCATTTGAAGAGATACAGAATTTCAGATAGCAAAGAGTTTCAGAACCCCACCAAGACTCAATCCAAATAAACCATCCCCTGGACACATTGTGATTAACTTTGCCAAAGTTGAGATGAAGGAGAAAATTCTGCAAACAGCCAGATGTAAGAAAAGAATCACTTACAAAGGGAGAAATATCAGAATGACTGCAGATTTCTCAGCTGAAATGTTTCAAGCGAGAAGATGGTCATCGACCTTCCATCTTCTAAAATAAAACAACTTCCAGCCCAGGATCTGTATCCAGCTAAACTGAGTTTAATTTGTGATGGGGAAATCAAGAACTTTAATGACATAGACATGTTGAAGAAATTTGCCATAACTATACCAGCTCTCCAGGATATTCTCAGACCCATCCTCCACAAAGACCAGTGCAATGCTCTATCTCCAAAGTAAATTTACCCAGAAATTTTTGAACAAAACCCAACTTCCACAGTGGGGAAAGGATTAAAAATGTCGACTGGACATCCAAAAATCATGACACCCAAAACACAATCAGGCTTATCAATTCTCTCAATTAATGTGAATGGTTTAAATTGTCCTCTAAAGAGGTACAGGCTGGCTAACTGGATACATAAACTCAGATATCTATTGTATACAAAAATCTCACCTTACCTTAAAGGATAAAAATAGACTCAGGATGAAGGGATGGACTTGTATAATACAGGCAAATGGAAACCAGAAAAAAGCAGAGCTTGCAATTTTAGTAGCAGATACAACAAAGATAAAGAAAGATAAGGGAAGTCACTACATATTTGTCAAGGGAAACACCCAACATGAAAAGATTTTGATGGCTCGGCGCCTATAGCTCAACCGGCTAAGGCGCCAGCCACGTACACCTAAGGTGGCGGGTTCAAATCCCCAGCCCGGACCCACCAAACAACAATGACGGCTGCAACCAAAAAAAATAGCCGGGCGTTGTGGCGGGCACCTGTGGTCCCAGCTACTTGGGAGGCTGAGGCAGGAGACTCGCTTGAGCCCAGGAGTTGGAGGTTGCTGTGAGCTGTAATGCCACGGCACTCTACCCAGGGGGACAGCTTGAGGCTCTGTCTCAAAAAATAAAATAAAATAAAATAAAAGCAAGTGATATCTCTTCTTTAAAAAAAAAAAAAAGAAAAGATTTTGATAATTAACATTTATGCACCAGAATGCTCCTCAATTCATAAAGCAGACCCTAATGGATATGAACAACTTGATATCTCCCTGCACTGTAATAGTTGAGATGTTAACACCCCTTTGACTAAACAGAGAAATTAATATTAGACTTAAACCTGACCATAGAACAAATGGACTTTACAGACATCTACAGAACATTTCACCCTAATAAAACTGAATATACATTCTCATCAGCTCACGGGTCATCCTCCAAAATAGATCATATCCTAGGATACAAGTCTAACCTCAAGAAATTTAAAAGTGTAGAAATTATTCCCTGTATCTTCTTGGATCACCATGGAATAAAAGTTGAACTCAACAGCAACAGGAATCATCATACTTAAACAAAGTCATGGAAACTAAATAATCTTAGGCTGAATGATAGCTGGGTCAAAGACAAGATTAAGA